AAATCACAATTTGTTCATCGAACTTATTTCTCAGTCACAAATCACAAATATTATAAATCAAAATTTAGTAGATAATCACAAATTGTCAAATTATCGATCACAAATTAACAATTTTTTAGGTCACACATTATTTCTTAGTCACAATTTATATTTTTCATTGGTCACATATTGTTTATCAGTTACAAATTAATGAATTTAATGGTCACAAACGACAAAATAATCTCCGACCACCATCAATATTTACAACGTCACCTCACCACTGCCTTAGCACCACCACCATCGTCGTCCCCCACCACCACCACCTCTACCTCCCTGTCCCGACCAAAGCATACCACTGATGTGCTTCGCTTGCTGATCTCACAGTCCACCACCACCAAACGGACAATCTGAGCTCAATGTCATCACACCCACAACCACCACCGCACATAGCACCCCAAACCACAACTGCACCCAATCATCGAACGTAACTACTTCATAGTACATCACCATTGCACCCAACACTGCACATCACCACCGTCAATAGTGCCAAATCCATCAACTCACCAGCGCTGGGTCCACCACCAATAGTGCTAGATCTATCTTAAACCTCTACCTACAACTCCAACCAACCACGACTACACAATCACCGCCTGCACCAGCAGCCACCACTGCCTGCACCAGTAACCACCACCAATGCTTGCTAAAACCTATCATCTCTTCAACCTCTAACATACTACCACAGCTACCAACAAAATCCCTAAACCCGCCACCGCCATCTGCACTTTCAATATACTACAAATCAACATCCAACTTCGACCACCACAAAATCAGAAAAAGAAAGAAACGAAAAACCTAATTCTTCGATTTGAGCTTCAATTTCAGTATGCTCTGATCGAGAAATGATTTCAATAGGGCAGTATTATCATGGTTATCACCCGATCCAATTTCGATCGAGGTTAGGTCTGTTTCGTTCTCCATGGCGTCCATGTAGTCGCAGAAGCAACATGAGGAGATGAAACGACCGGTAGCGCTGGCGGAGCTTCTCCATTTTGTGGCGACACTGCGCCGAGGTCTTGGGAATGGGTGCGTCGAAGAAGCGGCTGTTGACGATGGCCGCCACCGCATCCCAGTCCGTCGTGCGCAGGTACCCTCTGTGAGTGCGGAGAGGAGAGTGAGGAAGAAGACGGGGAAAAGAGAGAAAGGGGAGGAAAATGTTTGATTAGGGATTAATTGCAGCATATTTATTTTATAAAGATTTTAATTAAAATAAAATATCCGATTTTGGAAATACCAAACTTTCAATCTGATTTTGGAATCTTAAATACTTAAAGTATGGTTTTATGTAATTACCAACTTTTTTTTTTTATGTAAGATTCTTGAGAGAAACATAACTAGGGGTGGGCGCGGGTCGGTTCGGTTCGGTTTTTTTCGGTTCTAGAAATTTTCGGGTAT